ATACACGGAAGATAGAAAGGAGTGTATTTGCGATATTTACAGATAGATGTGACACCTAAGGGTTGCTAGGATCTCGCGCACCGAATGCGCTTCTTCTTCATCGATGCGTCTACGACGGGGTGAAGCCATGCCCACTGCCTCGTAATATCACCCCCGGCGGACGAAGCGTCGTCACGGTGCCGCTAAGTCAATCATGACTGGCAGTGTTGTAGCATTTTAGTCGCGACACATGGACAACATCCGTAGGAGTTGTGGCAGAAGATGAAGGTGGTTCAACGGGAGTGATGAGGTAGTCGACGTCAGTGACCTTGCAGAGAACTTTGTAGGACCCGGTGTATCGTGAAAGGAGCTTCTCTCACAAGCCTCCACGTCGATGCGGCGTCCAAAGTAGGACGAGAGAGCCAGCAGGGTAGTCAACGTCGCAGTTCCAGTCATCGTAGCGGACGTTTTGTGAGGCATGAGAAGCAATGAGCCTAGTGTGCGCGATTTGGTGAGCGACGCGGGCTCAAGAAGAAACGTCCTGAGCATGCATCGTTGGTTCGGTAGTATAAGAAGGAAGGAGTGTGTCGAATGACAAGGCAGGGTTGCGGCCGTACAGAAGAAAGAATGAAGAATAGCCGGTGGTGTCATGCTTTCATTAATTGTACACAAACGTAACGTAGCGGAGTATTGCGTCCCAGTCACGGTGATCAGCAGACACGTACATGGACAACATGTCTGTAAGAGTTCGGTTGAGGCGCTCCGTGAGACCGCTGGTCTGGGGATGGTAGGCAGTGGTAAAGTGATGTTCGGTAGAGAAGCTACAGAGGATTCCGTCGAAAACTTTTGCGAGGAATGAACGGCCACGATCCGTCAGAAGATGGCGTGAAGCCCAATGCCGCAGAATGATGTCATTCAGTAGAAAGTCTGCAACGTCTGTAGCGCAGCTACTTGGCAAGGCATGAGTTATAGCATATCTGGTCGCATAGTCTGTTGCGACAGCGATCCATTTGTTGCCTGACACGGACGTTGGGAAAGGTCCGAGCAAGTCGAGGCTGACGCGGAAGAATGGTTCCGGGGGAATGTCGATAGGTTGGAGCAGGCCAGCCGTACGGAGAGTAGGACGTTTGCAACGCTGGCAGTGCTCGCAAGCAGCGACATAGCGGCGCATAAATTTATACAGGCCAGGCCAAAAGAACCGTTGCCGCATGCGATGATAGGTGCGTGAAAAACCTGGGTGTCCTGCCGTCGGAGCGTCATGCAGATGTTGAAGAATGGTGGCTCGCAGCTGTCGGGGGATAACCAACAAAAGGTCCGGGCCATCAGGCTTCATGTTGGGATGGTACAGAATTTCGTTGCGGAGGACATATTGACAGAGCAAAGGGTCGGAAAGTCCTGCAGATACTCGCTCAATGACCGTCCTGAGGGTTGCATCCCGGCGCTGCTCTGGGCTGATGTCACGCAAATCGGATATGGCGAGCACACAAGAATCGCTCTCATGGATGGCGAGGCTAGCAGGATTCACCGGATAACGCGAGAGACAATCGGCATCTTGGTGTAACCTGCCAGACTTATAAATTACGTCGAAGTTATACTCCTGAAGACGTGGAGCCCAGCGACCTAGGCAACCAGTTGGGTCCTTGAGCGAAGACAACCAACACAGAGCGTGGTGGTCCGTAATAACTGAAAACTCCCGGCCATACAAGTAGGGGCGAAATTTCACTACAGCCAAGACCAACGCAAGACACTCGGGCTTCGTTATCGAATAGTTTCGCTCAGCTGTGGAGAGAAGGCGGCTGGCATACGCAATAAGACGCGTTTGGCCCCCCTGCTGCTGAGCGAGGACGGCGCCGATGCCGTGAGCACTGGCGTCTGTGCAAACTTCAGTCGTCGCGGACGGCTCGAAGTGAGCCAATATTGGTGGTGAAGTCAGCAGCTGGATCAGCGTGGAAAATGCAGCTGCTTGGTCTTGGCCCCACGAGAAGGGTGCATTCTTTTTGAGAAGATCAGTGAGTGGTCGTGCAATTGTAGCGAAATTGCGTATAAAACGTTGGAAGTATGAGCATAAGCCCACAAAACAATGAAGATCTTTGGTAGTAGAATGAAGAAAAAGTTTTTGACAGCGCTAATCTTGTCAGGGTTCGGTTGGACGCCAGCAGCACTTACGCAATGACCAAGGACCGTGATTTCTCGTCGGCCGAAATTGCCCTTTTTCGAGTTCAGCTGGAGTCCCGCTCGGCGAAAAACGGCTAGAATGGTCGACAGGCAAGTTAGGTGGCTTTCAAATGATGGAGAAAAAACAATCACATCGTCGAGGTAGCAAAGGCAGATGGACCATTTACAACTACGGAGGAGAGAGTCCATCATGCGTTCGAACTTTGCCGGGGCATGCACAGCCCAAAAAGCATAACCTTGAACTGACAAAGGCAATTTTTTTGTGGTCTAAGTCGTCGACAGAAATTCGCCAATAGCCCGAACACAGATCTATAGATGAGGAGTATCGCGCGCCATGAAGGCAGTCAAGGGCGTCGTCGATTCGGGGCAGCGGAGATACCTCTTTGCGGGTTATCTTGTTCAAGGCACGGTAGTCAACGCATAATCTCCAACTGCCATCTTTCTTTTTGACTAAAACAACAGATGACGCCCATGGACTTGAAGAGGCCTCTATGACTCCTTTAGAGAGCATCTTCTCGACTTCTCGTTGTATGACCTAGTGTTCGGACTGGGAAACACGATATGGTCGCCGTCTAACAGGACTAGCATCACCGGTATGTATTTGATGACGCACGACGAACGTTTGACCTAAAGGGTGGTCATCGATGTCGAAAATATCTCGGTAGTTGGTCAGAACGTGGTGGAGTTGCGCAGCCTGACAGGGCAGAAGATCAGGGGCAATCATCATCGTGATTTCATTGGTAGGTGCGTTTGCTCGGCTGGCTGCAATAGGGGACGAGCAGTCTTCAGGGTCTAATGCCACGATGTTACATGCATCAAGTGGGGAAACATGGCCTAACGAAATGCCTTGCGGTAGAACTTGGGTCGAACTACTAAAGTTGAGAAGCGGAAGCTGAACGTAGTTGTCCACGATAGTCATGATGGTGTGCGGCACAGGAACACTTCGCGCCAAGAGCACATCCACTAATGGAGACACTATGTAATCACCGGAGCTGGTGATATCGTTAAGGCCGCAAACGTGGTGGCTTGCGGTGACAGCCGAACATAATCAACAGCGCACAATCGGTGTGACGGTGAGGATGGCACAGCCCCAAGTCGAGGCAATTCAAGCTGAAGAATGCCGGTTGCACAGTCGATGAGAGCGGCATGAGTAGACAAGAAATCCAATCCAAAAATCAGATCATTGGAACACTGCTCAATAACTGCAAAGAGAACAGATGTGGGGTGATCGGCGATTGTGATGCGTGCTGCGCACATTCCTATGATGGCAAGACTTCTTCCGTCGGCGACACGAATAATGCCAGAAGCAGCAGGTGTGAGAACTTTCTTCGGGCGGCAACGAAGTCGGGCACTCATCACAGAAATATGCACCCCGGTGTCAATAAGTGCAGAAACAGTCACGCCGTCAACGTCCAAGTCGATCAAATTTCGTCGTGTCGGCAGTACAAGGAGAGGATTTAAGGTCGGTATCGAGGATGCAACTTCACCTCTAAGAGCTGCACCGCTTAGTGTCCCTGATGAGAATTGAGCGAGGAGGTTGGGCATCATCGTAGAGGAAAAGGGGACGACGGGCGACGTGCAGGCAGCGAACGAGACTGAGCGGCTGTGCTGCGTATTAGGGGCATCGAAGGGTGGAAGGCAACGGTAGCTGTCGGGGATCGGCGCAGGAGGCTGGAAAAGGCGGTAGCTGTCGGCGCGGCGAGCAGTGTTATACTGAGTTGGGGACGAAGACCAATAGTTGCGGCAATACCGTGCGACGTGCCCTATGCGACAGCAGTTAAAGCAGATTGGCCGATCATCTGCCGTTCCCCATTCGGCCGGATTGCGAGAGCGTGGGAAAGGCCGTTCCTGGGGCGGTGACCTGGGGCGAGGCGGCGACCTTGAACAGAAGCCAAATGGTCGAGACTGAGCAATGGCGCAGACATCGAGGCCCAAAATGCTGAGTTCTTCCCGCACAATGAATATAGCCGTCAATGAATATAGTCGTCGTAAAATTTTCCAACAAAATGACTGGTAACAGCTACACTCGTCGTAAACAAAAATTGCTCTTGCATAAAAGCAATGAAGACGACACTTGTCATAGTTGTGTTTCTTGACGCTAAATGGCCACACCTGTCCATGATGGGACATTTATGTCTCAGTTTTCTTTTTATTGGCATTTTGTAGCGAGAGCTACATCAGCCATATTCTCGCCGTTTCACTGTGGCCACACCACGAGCTAGCAACTGCCACAACTGGCATGACGTCAGATGAAGAACCGGTGAAACCGTGCGGGAAGGCAGGGCCCCCATTGCCTTGTATATGTACATAGAAGGGGTGGCTCGATGAAATTTGACGGCAGATATAGAAAGCGAGTAAAAGGACTGAAAAAAGCAAGCTTTATTTGACAGAATGAAACTAAAAGGAGACAGCAAGAGTGCCTAGACTGGCATAGTGAGGAGCTAGGCAAGTTGGTTTAGTACAATAAATAACTGTGCTACAGTTACTAGTGAAAAGAAGTTAGGAAGAATACACGTTACAAACACGTTTCATGCCAACACAGCTCAGCGAAGAACAGAACCTTCATCACATTTCTGTCTGTACGAGCCTTGAGCAACTAGCTATAAGTTTACGACTTTTAAGATTAAGCCAAAACATAAACAGTCAATTGATGTTTGATTTAAACCTGTAATACCTTATCAAATATTAGCAGTCGGTTGATGTTTGATAGGTGGTGTTGATACGAGAAGCAAATTTCTATTTAGTGATAAAATTCCCCAACTTTTTAAGTGGCACCTCGAACATTTCACAAATTCTCAGTTCATGTCACAGCATCATCATAACTGTCAAAAATCTCAATGAATTACCTCTACTGCAAACACAGCAATTGGAATGGGCAGCTCCGGGTTATGAGCACAGGCCATCAGTGTCGTCTCCAAATCACGATTGGCCACCTGGGCTATGGTACCGATATTTCTCAAGGCCTGCATAAAAAAATAAGAAGATCCAGGGTTGTTGATCATTGAAAAACAGCATGCTCTGCACACAAAATATGAGCAGAACAAAGACCATGCATAAGCATCAATGTCCAGCAAGGAGCCTGCATTGGCCATGTTATATCATTTAAGTCAGAATACAGGTGCAATGCAAGTGGCTATGTATTTCTCAAAACTTACACAAACACCAGTGATTATTATGCTGAAATATTTCACTTAATATAGACATGTTTTGCCTATATACACGTCTTCAAGTTTTCACGACAGGGGGCCGCCATATTGAAATGTGTGCCGTCTAACGACCAAGTTTAGCGAAATCTTCATCTAGGGCTGCGCGTACTCGAAGTGATGCATTATCCGATATAACCTTGTTACGTATCATTACATCATCGGTATTCACATATTTTTGCAGAATACAGCAGCTAAAGCGGCCGGCTGGGCGCTTTATACAAGCATGGCTCCGTCTGTACTTTTTTTTTTTCGGTATCCAAGATGATTGATTGATATGTGGTGTTTAATGTCCCAAAACCACTATATGATTATGAGAGACACCGTAGTGGAGGGCTCCGGAAATTTCGACCACCTGGGGTTCTTTAACGTGCACCCAAATCTGAGCACACGGGCCTACAACATTTCCGCCTCCATCGGAAATGCAGCCGCCGCAGCCGCCGCAGCCGGGATTCGAACCCGCGACCTGCGGGTCAGCAGCCGAGTACCTTAGCCACTAGACCACCGCGGCGGGGCAATGTATCCTAGATGCAGTACAGGAACGTTGTTCTTGATGGTTTTTTTGCCGCCAACGAAATAACGTGAGCAGAAGCGTGACAATGGACACACGCGGAGGTTTCCTGGTGACACCCACTACTTCCGCAATTCAGGCGACGATGAAACGTGACGCAGCACGAACATATTACACCGGCACTCATTGCATGGCGTACTGTGCTGCAGACACAATGTCACCCAAATTGTTCCTCTTGCGCTGATTGTTCGCATACCCATACACGACACAGCGATGGCCAGATGTGCTGGTCTTTGAATATGCTCACTTTCCTGCCACAACATTCTTTATTGTGAGGTATGAAAAAGAAATCCTCAGCCTGCTGTGGTGTCGCTAGTTTTGGTTTTAATGAGTAGTCTAGCAACTATGGATGTGCTGTTGTTGTCTTACATATACGGGTGTTCTGAAATAAAACTTCACACATTTTGTTGTGTTATGGAAGGTGTCCGCTCTCTTAATCATGACTCCAGGTCACATTACCACATTGGCCACGAGTTTAATGAAGGCGTTACTTCGCCTGTAGCCACGTCGCCCCGTCATGAGCTTAGGTAGTCAATAGCTACAACGTTCCATTTGTTTCCAGAATTTGATGTCGGGAACGTCCCCAGTAAGTCCATGCCGATTTGCTGAAATGGCCGATGAGGTGGCTCGATAGGCTGGAGAAGTCCGACTGGCCTAGTTGGCTGTGTCTTTCGTCGTTGACAGTTTCGACATATCCTGACGTAACGAGTGACATCGGTGGCAAGTTGTGGCCAGAAATACTTCTCCTGTATTCTCGCGTGTGTACAAAAAACACCAAGGTGTCCAGCCATCGGTTCACCGTGTAGAGCATCCAAAACTTCTGGACGTAATGTTGAAGGTACTACTAGGGGATAGTTGGCCTGATGTGGTGAAAAGTTTTTCTTGACGAGGATGTCGTTACACAAGAAAAACGATGCCAGTTTTCACTTGAATACCTTTAGAACAATGGCAGCCCTGCCCTTACACACAAGGCCCTTAATTTTAGGGTCGGCACGCTATCGTTCTGCAAAATCATTGACGCTTAAGGTTCTCAGGAAGCAGTCGCCGGCTTCGTTGTTTTGCGGCGGTAGGTTGATTGGGCGCTAGACAGGCAGTCGGTGCCAGAGAGCCTTCCCCCCGACTTGTACACGATGGTGATGTCAAATTTCTGAAGTCGCAGACTCTACCGTGCGAGGGGACTTGAAGAGGCCTTCGACTTAGCTAACCAACAGAGGGCATGGTGGTCGCTCACAACTTTGAAAGGCCTGCCTTAGAGTTAAGGGCGAAATTGGGAGGTAGCCCAAATGATGCCAAGACACTCCTTTTCTGTTGTGAAATAGTTGACTTCTTAGATAGCGACCGGCTCGCATAACTGATGACCTTTTCAAGTCCGTCAATCTTCTGCACCAGGACGGCTCTGAGCCCTACACTGCTTGCGTCAGTGAGGATTTCAGTACCGGTGTTTTCGTAAAAATGAGCAAGTATTGGCAGTGCCTGCAGGCGCTGTTTTAGTTCTTGAAATGCTTCCTAATGCGGGGTTTCCCACTTGAACTCGACGTCGGTCTTTGTCAGGTTAGTGAGTGACTCGGCGATGCAGGCAAAATTACTGACAAAAGACCTGTAATAGGTGCAGAGGCCGAGAAATCGGTCCACGGCCTTCTTGTCGGAAGGTGACATAAATGCAGCGATGGATGTTGTCTTCTGCGGGTCGGGGCGTACTCCAGACTTGCTTATTATGTGTCCCAGGAACAAGAGTTGCTCGTAAGCAAAGTGGCACTTTTCTGACTTCAGAGTGAGTCCTAAGGTTTTTATTGCTTGAAGTACAGCTTCACGGCGCTGTAGATGATTGTCGAAGCTTGACGAAAACACGACGACATTGTCAAAATACACGAGGCAAGTCTGCCACTTCAATCCAGCGAGCACGGTGTCCATAACACGCAGGACGATTGCAGGCGCAAAGCAAAGACCGAAGGGCATGACCTTAAACTCGAAGAGGCCGTCTGGTGTTATGAACGAAGTCTTTTCTCGATCTCTTTCAGCTACTTCGATCTGCCAATAGCCTGTCTTGAGATCCATCGATAAGAAGTATTTGGCATTGAGTCGATCAAGGGCATTGTCTATTCAGGGGAGAGGGTATGTGTCCTTCGTTATCATGTTGAGTCGACAATAGTCAATGCACAAGCGTACTGTTCGTTTCTTTTTCTTTATTAACACCACCGGTGACGGCCATGGGCTCTTTGAAGGCTGCATGATGTCGTCGCGGAGCATTTCATTGACTTGTTTTTTTATGGCCTCACATTCTCGCGTAGAAACTCTGTAAGGACTCTGACGGAGTGGCCTGGCATTTTCTACTATTACAATTCAATGTTTCCCAACAAGGGTCTGGCGAATGCTTGACAACGACCAAAAGCAGTTTTTGTATTTCAGAAGCAGGTTTTTTAGCTGCTTTTGTTTATGCGTCGGAAGGCTTGGATTAACGTCGAAAGCTGGTTGAAAAGTTTCAGTCATCGGAGTAGATTCAGCGGAATCGGTGAGGGTGAAAGCGTTGCCGACTTCCAGTACCTCTTCGATCTAGGCAACTGTCGTGCCTTTGCTCACATGCTTGTACTATTGTTGAAGTTTGTGAGCATCACTTTTGGGTTCCCTCCTCGCAGCTCAGCTGTTCTTCTGGCGACGCAAATTTTGCGGTTGATCAAGAGATGCTGGTTGCCTTCAACGACGCCTTGCATGTCTATTGATTCTTGAGCGCCGATGGAAATACTGACGCTGGACCGAGGATGAAAGGTGAGTTGGTCTTCCAGCATATTCAAAACGTACCTTCCTGATGACGTGTTTGGCAGCAGTGCTTTATCTGTGGTTAGAGTTATAAACTTTGTTCTCAGGTCAATGACAGCACCATGGAGGCTTAAGAAGCCCATATCAAGAATGACATCTCTCGAGCAATGCTGTAGTACAACGATGCTTGCAGTGTAAATCTTGTTGTTAATGGTGACTCTAGCTGTACAGATTCCTGACGACGTAACTAGGTGACTTCAGCAGTACGAATTTCAGGGCCTTCCCAGGCTGTCCTAACTTCCTTCAATTTCACGGCGAACGTACCACTGATGACGGCTCTGGTGTCATCAGTGGGCTCTGGTGTCGCGGAGAGCTGTCACACTGTGGCCACTAATTCATCGCCTAGCATTCGAGGTCGAGGTCACTAATTCATCGCCTAGCATTGCAGTTGGGTGATGACGTAGAATCACAGCTACGACGATTTGTACCACTGCTTTGTTGCGTCGTCAGGTATTCTGCTGGCCGCGAAGTATCGATGTCAAAGCTGCGTTCTGGATCCAGCATGTTTTGAAGCTCCGTCACTTCGGCGGCGGAGGAGGCGGTGGAGGAGGATCTTCGGCAGTTCGTCGTACAGCAACCGCACCTCCATCGGTTGCTGCCCTTAATTTTCCTAATACAGGCTAGGCGACCAGCCTCGGTTTGGGACGGTGCGGTGACATGTAGCGGCCGGGTGAGGATGAACGAGATAATCCCCGGGGTGTCTTCTGCGCTCCGGCGAGATAGTCGGCAATGTCATGTGGTCTTTCACCCCACTGTAGATGCGGCACATTGATGGCGAAACCATGTAGCCCTATCTGATGGTAACGGCAGCGGCGGTACGTGTGCCCGGCTTCTCCACAGTGGTAGCACTGTGAGCGGTGGTCAGGGGCTTGCCAGACGTCAGTCATCCTTAAAGCGTAGTGCTGGCCTGCTGGCAGGCAGTAAGGCCTGGTGGAAGAACTGCGGTGGGGCAGTGTCCTGACAAGGACATGAAAGAGCGTTGCGGCGCACTGCAGCAGTATAGCTGATTGCTTCTGGTTCAGGCTGCGGTGTTTCTGGGATGCCAAGCGACTGCCAAACTTCTCCGCGGACAGTGTCAGCGATCGAATTGGCTTGAGGCTGCGTTGAAGGCAATGAGTTCCACAGCTCCTCTCGCACGATCACTCGAATCATCTCGTGCAGGTCGTCGGTACTGAAGGCATCGGCGCACTTGAATGAGGCGCGGCGGTTGTACTGAGTTGAGCGCATCTTAAGCGCCTTTTCTATAGTCGTGGCCTCGGTAATAAATTCGCTGACAGTCTTGGATGGGTTCCAGACAAGTCCCGCAAACAACTTTTGCTTGACCCCCCGCATGAGGAACCAGAGCGTCTTTTCCTCGACCATGGTGGAGTCAATG